TTTGTTTTATTTTTATTTATTTTGTTTGTTTTATGGTGCAAGGATAATTACTTTATTTAAATAGGATGTAACAGTACGACCAATCACGATCAGCTCAAGCTGCGAGCAGGCGGACAACGGGACACCTCGTGTAACATGTGGCTAGTATGTGAAAGTCCTTCGCTTCGCTCCGGACTAATTAAAAAATCAAAAAGGTTATTATTATATTTGTTTTACAATCTTGTTCCAAGTACATTTTTAAAATATCGTATTCGATAGAATTTCGTTAAAGGAACACCCCAATAAATTAACAAATTACAGTATTTATTAATTATTTAACGAAGTATTTTTTTAAAAAGTATATTTGCCTTATCAACATTTAAAGATTCATGTTGTTAACTTGATTTATTACTGTTAATTTCCTTTGCCTCTAACTTTGAGTCCTTGCTTTTCTTAATTGAATATCACGACTTGAAATTCTTACCATTAAAAAATCTGAAACCTGAAAAATTCAATAACGTATTTTATCATGAAAAGTTATATAAAAGTCACTAAATGACTGCGCTAATTAAGGTCACCAATGATCTCCATGAATAGTCACGGTTATCATTATTCTATTTATTATAATTATTATATCGTTTATCACTATTTTATTTATTATATTTATTATCATAGTTATATTTATTTTCTTTATTAAATATCTCTTTCTTATAATTGTATTTTATATGTTATATAAAAAAAAAGAATATCATTATATGTTATTTTTTGAATTTAAAAAAAATAATTTTCCTTATAAAAGTATCAATTACTAGGTAATGGGAAACGTTTGGAGTTCAATTATTTAATACTATAAATCAACCGTAATACAATACTTATTTGGTAGATCACGTGTGGGCACGCTTATCCTAAGATGTGAAATCTGAAAAGCGAAATGTCATATTAAAGAGAAAGGTATTTGAAGTCTTCTTGCAGAATTGGATGATAAATAATAAAATGAGTCCAAATTTAATGTAAAAAAATCGATTTTATTAAGAAATTTATTAAGTTTATTATATAAAGATTTTTTTTATAGTATAATGCGACTTTTTGTGGGTTCTAAATGATTTTAAATCTTTAGAAATTTCCAATATAGAATTTAAAATAGGTAATCATATTTTAATATCTTGTATTTTGGACCGCCAATATATTCTGTGTTTCAAATAGAATTGGGACTCAATAATAAGATTATTGCTTATTTTTTTTTAATAAATTAAGGAAATAAATAACGGGAAGAGATATCTTTATTAGAACTTATAATTTTTATTGGGACTTTTAGGACCCCTAAAGAAATGCTTATTAACTGTTTCCTTCAAGCTTTCGAAAACGTTTCTCAAGAAGGAAAATGTTCCGGAGGTGAATCAAATCATAAAGAAACCTTCAAAATTGAATTTCACACTCCTAGAAACATAATTTGTAAGTTTTTTATTAGAAATAATTTAAAAAATTAAAAAATAACCTTGCCATTCTCTACTTTAGAAGACTTCCCTTCTTCGCTAGATTAAGAAAAGACAAGAAAGCCTTTTCTGTTTACGATTTTCTAAACCAGCGAAAATTCTAAGTCTTTGTAAGCCCAACTCGAGTCGAGTTGGATTTAAAGCTCCTAAGCCGGGTCGCCTCGTGCATATTTTAAAGAAAGTAGAAAAATTTATCCTTGTTTCGAAAAATATATCCGAAATTCGAACCTAAAGTCAGAAAGTCGTAACCTATGTTTACTAACTAGGATCTAAAAATGCTATACATATTTGATATTTTTCTTGATTGATGCTTTACTCTCAATATCAAGGTCATGAAATAGTATCATAAAATTTGTCGCATGGAATCGAATCAAAAATGTAGAATTTAGAATCGAATCGCGATTAATCTTTCCCGAGTTTCGTTCTAGGATTCGATTTTCGGTTTTTAATTAATCGATTTAATCGTAGCAATTTTTAATCACGGAAATTCCAAAAAAATTTTATTTACAAAAAAAAAATAAATAAATAAATAAATAATTTATAAGAAAAAAATTATTAATTGTAAAATATTTACATTTTCATAAATTTACATTTATGATATTTAGATATATAATTCTAATTTATTCATCCTTTATTGATGTAGAAATTTAACTTTCAAAAAACTTCTCAATCATTTTTTTAAGTACTGTATATGCGTTTTTTAAGATTCATTTATTTTTGGTTTTATTTTTTTACTTTTGAGTTCTTTCAATATCGAATTAATTTTAATAATTAAGTTTCTCTTTGCTTGGATATACAGTGGCTTCCAAAAAAAACGCACCACTATACTGCTTATTACATGTTTTACGATCAACAATAAATTTGTTTTAATTTAATATTTTTTAAATAAGTAATACAGATGTAGATCTTCAAA